TATAGGACCCTTTTCTCCACCACTTTTCCTTTGATAGAGTTTTTTATTACGTTGTGGGTGATTTAAAATATTTTGTAAATATTATTTATTACTTAGTAGATTGTGTTAATATTATTTTTGTTACTGAATTATACCTGAATTTTTATTTTTTGCTTTTTTTTATTTGATTTTTATTTTTGTTTCAATTAGAATACAATTGAATTGTACCTGATTTTTATATATTTATTTTGGTTTTTGTTTAAATTATTTCCAGTTGATTGTTTTGACTTATATTGTTAATTTTATAATAGCTATTTTCGACTGCCCAAGCGTTACTCTCTAGCGAATCGAACAAACTGTACCAGATGCTCAAACAAACAGGTAGAACTTGTGGTACAACCCTGCGCTAACATGTTTTCTGATGCATGCGCAATAGTGTCATGATTCTTCCTTGAGAGATAAATTATTTTTTTCGCGTTAAAACACGTTGCTGTAACCCTTTATTTTGGTTTTCTATAAATTATTATAATTGATTTAAGTCTTATGTTTTAAAAATATAAGAAAAACAAGTCAGGAAGGGCTAAGTTTGTATGTAATCTAACATTTTATACTCTCGCAAATACAAATGGTATACTCGTTTGAGATTTCTTTTTATATTTTAATAATTTAAAGTATTAATTGTCGCCTCAGTTATTCACATTCACAGTGAAATTAATTACAGCAATTTGTAAACTAAATTTACTCAAATTATGAGAAATCGGTTTAATGTTTTGTTGTATAGGTTTATAATTGATTTTATATAGAATGCATTACAACTGTCTTGAGGAGTATGAAAAGAAATCGTTTTTTGATAATGAATACAATTTTTTATCGATATTATTATAAATGTTTAGCTTAAAAATAATAGATATTAACAACTTTAAGAAATTATATTATTATATTAATTTGTATATAATATTTACAATATAAAACATAAATTTTTATAGAGATTCTTATACATATATCCAAATTATATTTCTATTCTCCATACACTATTTAATTTCTATCATATATTTATACAATAATGTCTTATATATTAACAAATTATACATATAATTAAAATTTTCTAAACTAGATTATTTACATAATTCTCTTAAAATTGTCTTACAAACTGCAGTCAAAATTGCTATATCATTTTAATTTGATTATATTTGAAAACAAGTAAGGAAGGGCTAAGTTCGGGTGTAGCCGAACATTTTATACTCTCGCAAAGTCAAATGGTATACTCGTTTGAAATTTCTTTGTGGATTGACTGATACCTTCGGTAGAAGGTCAACTATAGGCACTGGGGTCCACATATTTAGTACTTAGGGGCTTGAACAGTTTTGGTTCGATTTAGACGATTTTTGGTCACAAGGTGGCATACTTTAAATGCATTATTTACGCAAAGTTTTACCCCTATACAATCATTGTTGCTTGATTTGCATACTGGAAAGTGAAAGAATCATATAGAATTTAAAATGGTGTTATATGGGAAATAGGCGTGGCTGTAGTCCGATTTCGCCCATTTACGTACTATAACATAGCAATATGAAAAGAACGTTATGTACCGAATTTTGTTGAAATTGGTTAAGCAGATCTCAAGATATGGGTTTTCATATTGGGCTGTGCCACGCCTACTGTCTAATTTTGAACGCGGTTCCTTTAAAGTCATCTCGTACCATCCCAGAGATAAAAGTTAATGTCTCTGGCGTGTTTAGTGCTTGATTTATCGCGCTTTTAGTAGTTTTTAACATTATCGTTATATGGGGAGTGGGCGGAGTTGCCACCCGATTTCACCCATTTTCACACTGTAGGTAGAGGTTCTAAAAACATTTGCTTCCAATGAATTTTGTTATTATAGCATTAGCGGTTTAGGATATATGCACATTAAACTTATTGGGGGCGGGACCACGCCACCTTTAAAAAAAATTTTAACTGCAGATGCCCCTCCCTATTGTGATCCTGTACACCAAATAAGAGTCTTGTATCTTGTTGTGGAGCTTAGTTATGGCAATTTATTTGTTTTTTAATAATAGCGTTTTGTGGGCGCGGCAGTGGTCCGATTACGCCCATCTGCAATACCAACCGTCTCACGGTATCAAGAAACATGTCTACCAAGTTTCATAAAGATATCTCAATTTTTACTCAAGCACGGACGGACAGACAGTCACCCGGATTTCAACTCGTCTCTATATATCCTGATTAGATATGGGGTTATATATATATATATTAGTTTTAGGTGATACAAACAACCGTTAGGTGAACAAAACTATTATACTCTGTAGCAACAGGTTGAGAGAGTATAAATAATAAAGAAATTTGTATTTTCATTTGTCATTTAAACTATCCACAATAGTAAAAGAAAGCTAAAATATGCAAAACAAAACTTGGCAGCATTTAAGAGTGAAGTTGTACCACTTTAATGAGGTATCCGCAAAGCAAGAGTATTGCTTCAATTCAACTCGATAACTTTGTTGTTGCTTTCACATTTTAATATTTTGAAAATAGACCAGAGAAACGACCAATCGAAGACAGCTATTTTAAATATATTGTTTTTGTAATTAATATTCCTAAAGTGTACCTCATTTTATATAGTAATATTTGTTATACCCAGTAGATTGATTTAGAACTAATAATATATGGATGAAAAAAGGCCTCCTGGGGAACCGAAAACCCAAGAAAAATCGGTAACGTGTCTACAATGCAACCTCAGAGGTGGTGAAGAAAAACAAGAAGTATGAAATAAACTTTTGTTTCAAAAATATTTCTGCTTATAATATAACAATCATTGTTATAATTAGGTAGATTAGACAATTAAACTAAACTCTTATTTTAATTATTATTTGGCATTGTTGATGGCACTCAGAACCTCCCTATCGTTGAAAGTGATGCGCGGTCTTTTGGCATTTTGTGCAACCGTCGGGTAACACATCGTTTTGCCTTGTCAGTCGAAGGGTGCATTGTAAATTGCCGGCTAAAAGAGCTCGCGTACTTCTTCGGGTCCGAGGAGGCATGGCCATGAAATTGAATTTCAACCCGGTGGTCATGTTTCCTCGGATTAGACAAGGCCTTGACAGTAATCCAAAGCTTCCTCACAGGTGTAGAGGTTGCAATACTTCAAATGCTCTATCTATTTTGACCGCTTATGCTGATTTACCATTTGCCGAATTTCCAAATTCAGATCCCTTATTCGGGGATCACAGGGATCGGCATGGCGTAAGGTGTCACGCTCGTTTGCAAATACAGCTGCTTCGGCAGGGAAATTAGGGCGGAGTTCCGCGATCACCTTGCGGAATTGACGCTCGCCAACGATGACGTCCGTAGAATTAGGTAGTGCGGTGAAGGTGCTCTCGGTAAATTCTGTGCAGCCGACAGAGGTTTCTCGATCGAGATAATTATGGGCAGATGGTCTGATGCGAGAGTTAGTAAAGGTCGCCAGGTTATGCTATTTATCAGACCAACGCTAGCGATGGCAACATCTGGCGAGCTATTACAGGTGCCCGTAATTCTGGTGGGGGCTTCGTCATTCATTTTACAGAATGTCCAATCGTCAATCTGTTCCCCCAGCTCCATCCCCTACGGTCGTTTGACAGGCAGGAGTGCCAAAGATCGTGGAGCACCTTAAAGTCGCCTAGCACCAAACGGTTTTCACCACGAAGTAGCGCACCTATGTTCGGGTGATATCCTGTTGGGCAACATGTAACGGGGGGGGATGTATATATAAAATATCTCGAGCTCGACATCGCCTGACCGGACAGCTAGACCCTGACATTCAAGGGTAGTCTTGCATGGTGTTGTGAAGTATGAAAACGTAAAACGTTAAAACCTGCACAACTGTGAAGATCTGAGCGGCTGTTTAACTTGGTTTCTTGGACCGCAGCTATCGATACGCGTTCCCGGATCATAAATGCAACTATCTTTTCGTTCTTACTCTGGAGTCCGGTGCAGTTAAATTGTCTCGTTTGTCTTGGGTGGCCGGTGGTGAGGGAGGTACGTGTAAGTGGTGGTTTTAGCAGCTGTAATATCCGCATGGGCGGTTGTCGCACTGTGGTGTTGTTTGGCGACGCCACTATATGGGAGTGCGGTTGCAAACTCCTACAGCCCGGGCAACATACGACGCACTCCACTCATGTGTGGTGCTCAGGCCGGAACACGACAGAAAGTGACACCAGCCAGAACAAGAATTGCACTTGACTGATGTGACGTTACGGAGTATTACGGTCTGACACACGCAACAGACTGTGCGAAGAACCAGGAGTTGCTGAGTGGTTCTCGCGCGAGGATTGGAGCGGGACAAATGTTTTGGAGCGGATTGGTCAGAGTGGGAGTCATGCTGCCTTTGTGAGCTCCTTAGGGCCGCGGAGGTCCTTTCTTGACTACTCGATTGGAGTGGCAGGTTGCACTGCCGTTGAGGCAGGTGTCGCAGTGGTGCGTTGGCAGCATGAGGCTACGTAAATCGTGGTCTACTCTCTTACTTATCCAAAATCGACCCTATAATACCATATGTACATGATGCAACGAGTCAGTCTCCGCATGACACTAACCACCTCTTTGCAAGCCCAACGAACGCCACCCATCTAAAACCTTTCTCCTTACGACAATCAACCTGAACCTTACCACCAAGCGGGGATTAGATAACCGCAACACAATCATACCATCTTAATTTTAAATCAAAATTTCGATTCCTTTTCTTGACATTACAAAATACTTGAAGAATGCTGTAACGAATTTCTCGATTGTAAATCTGGAGAATCTCCTATATTCAACCATACTCCTTTAAACACTAAAATCGGTATGCTAAAGGCGACCCTGTTTTTCAGTTATATACTTTTATTCTTATATATTAAATACTGTATTTGTTTTCGAAGAAATCAGTATTGCTTTATCGAAATAGTATATTGAATTCCATTTAAGATTCTTTTATTTGCCAATTGTTACTGTGATTATATATGCACCAAACTTTACATCAACACTCTATATACATATGTATATATACTCACCCCTTAACACAGCACTTTTAGTGTACATCTGAATATAGATCTGGAAGGATAGGCAGTAAAAAGCAGACACAACTTCATTAAAACCAGTTGGCATTTGTCCAAGTAACGTTTTCAGTAATAGAGCATGTAAATTCCAAGTTTCATTATTTTGCTGAGGATGCAATTTATTCACCCGCTCTATAAATACTTTTAAGCAAATAATATTTTTCAGCAGATTGTCAACAGCCGAGGCAAATTGATGAAACATTAAAAATTGCGATTCAACACTTTGTTCGGCAATCCCTAATTGTCTTGGAAAATTTGACCAAAACAAAGGGACAATTTTGTCACGAACGGCAGCTTGTATTTCGGAAAAAACTATTTCGCTCAAGGCGCCACTTAACCCAAGCGATATCATTTCCTTGCACAGTTGTTGGTGTCTTTTATCATCAGAATATGTGATTGCAACCTATTAAGAATAGATATATACATATGCATTCCTATTACTAATTCTATTCTAACTGATACGCTTACATTTCCACTTAATATCGGAAAGCTGCGAGATATTTCCAACCATAACAACCCAATATCCATCACTTTATTTTCAGCAGCTTTCAAAGAAATGTAAACAAATGTTTTGTTTCTACTGGGCACCTTCACAGGCAATAGACACTGTCACGATAATTTAATTTCTGCCTACGTTGCTTACCGAACGTTACACGATCAAGAAATTGCATTCAAGTTGGAATACACTCAGACGTTCTTATTACTACTACACTCATACTTTTCGAAATTGATATACATAATATAAAAGAAAAAATAACTATAAATAGAGAAATTGTAATATAAAATTTGTGAAATTTTCAACTTAAAATGCAAATATCTCGAAAACTATCAGTTTCCGACGGCTTTTTTTATCTGGAGAATCTCCTTCGTCTAACCATAGCCCTTTTAACCCTGAAATCGTGGGATTGTATACTAAAGCCGACCGATAAATGCCAAGCAATTGTCAGGCATATGATCATTTCGTTATATGCATGCAGATATTAAAATATCTGTGTCTATGGATAAGCTTATAGTGCAGTACAAGTAAAGTTGAAACAAGCAAAAACTTGGATTTTGAATATAATCTACAGTTCTTTTCGTACAACCAGATTGATTTTCTCAACCCATCTCTTTCTTTCCAATCCATCTTTAAAATAAATTATTAATTTCGTGCAGAACTCTCAAAATTGTTTAGTGATTTCCATGATTTTGAAACTATCATCGGTAATTATGTACTTAATGACCCCCACTTCGGAGGGGGTTGGGGTTGCAAATGGTATGTGAAGGGAGTCTGTGAAATACAATTTCAATGGATTTAGCCGTCGGCCACCCTTCAAAAAAATTATATGAAGGGTTAAAATTTCGTGAAAACAGCATATTCCCAAATTCAACCCTGGTCGGTCAAAAACCGGGGTGTTCATAATTCAATCGCGTCAAACTCCTTTCTGCATTGGCGGCCTTCAGCCGCGCTTCAAAAAAATAACCCTGGCTGATCCAACACCGGGTTGGCCAACTTTTTTCTGCATTGTGCATATAAGTTAATTTTGTAGAGGGTAATTGGGTATTTTATTTATTTTGATTGCTTTCATTCGTTTGGATATGGCAACACTTATTATCTGTCAATATGAAACCCATTTGTTGCTTATTTAAAGCAAATATTTAATTAATCAATACAAAATAAATATGTAGAAACATTGTAGTGAAGTGTTAGTGTATAATAAGTGCATAATATAAAAGAAAAGTTAACGGTGGCAATAATTATATACATTCTTGATCTGGAGAATCTCCTCTATCCAACCATATCCCTCTTAACCCTGAAATCGTGGGCTGGTATACTAAAGCCGACCCATAAAGATAAATGTATGGCCATTAAATTGGGACTTTTATTTAACAATCCAGCAATCGAACTCAGGAGTGAGGTACAAGGTAGACGATTTATCGAAATTCCATTACAATCGGTGTCCCCCTGCGAATGGCAGGCACCTTGCCGGGGTGCAGGGGCTTAGGTCGCAAGGCATTCTCGGCATCTCCCAACCGGGGTGGGAAGTGCTGCTTAGCACCTATCACACAGGTTGTCAGAAGCCGCATGCGCGCGACAACCAAGAGCTGCCCCCTCCTAATCCAGGGTGTTACGCGACTCCCGTGCCCATTGGACTATTTGCACCCAGGAGGTAAATTCGGCTGTATTTAAACGGAGCCTTCCCAAAACAGGGGGCCGCATTGGGAAGTAACGGTGGCCTTACCGCGTCATGGGGCTCTGGCGCGGTGGACTTTTGCGTTCCCCTTACAAAACGTTGACCGGACGGCTCACCACGTCGAGCCCATGGTCGTAAGAATAAGATGAATAACAACAACCAACAACACAACAATAGACACAAAAGGCAACAACAACAGCGAACGGACAAGGACAATGCCAGCAAAACAAGCACCGGTGCAGGTAAGGGAGGTTCAGGGGCTAAATAGAAGTTCAGCTTCCTGGACGCCCTGTCGCCAGAGGAGCGGGCGCTGTTCGAGGAGTATGCAAGAGACGATGACGACGACATGCCCTCGTGCAGCGGCGCTCAGCAGGCGAAATCGACTGCGGCCGGCGATGATAAAGCGGACCTCTTTGAGGCTCCCTCGAGCAGAATCACCTGCTCGGACTCAACGGGCATCTACCGTGGTGGCTGGAAAACGGAAACGGAAGAAGGGAACTGGGAGTCCAGGCGGACAGGATGATCCCAGGAGTAGAGGCATGTATGGTGCCAGCCTTAAATTGTAGCTGAAGCACCTCCAGGAGGGAAGAACGTTGGAGGAAGCCGAAAAGTTGGCGCGTAACAGGATGAAGGGAAACAATGCCTCCCCTGCCTCGGAGAAGCATAAGCGTGGCAATACCGTGACCGTCAGTAAACGGAATAGCGGTAATCGAAGCCAACGCCCGGTAAACGCAACTCAGGATACAAGGCGGGGTTGCAAAAGGGCAGCGCCTTCAACCGCCCTAGGAGCCGCCTAACACCATGCGGCAGGGAAGCAGCAATGCACAGGGGATCTTAGGCAACCACTCCGAAACGGTGGAAAAGATGCTGGTAGATGAGGTTGCGACTCAACCCGGCAGGCGACAACTACCGAGACCACGGTGAAGGTCCCCACGGAGTAGTAGGCGAACAAGGAGGGGCGCTACCCTCCACGCAAGAGCTTCTCATGAGACTCATGGACCTAGCGGATGGCAACACGGAGGACGGCAAAGATTAGGACCAGCTCCTAATGGAACCGATCCTATAGTGGGTCCACACACTGAAGTTGCTCGGGTGAACCTGCACCACGCGGCGTCGGCCTCGGCTGTCAGCAGGTTCACAGCGGATGGTATGGGCATACTGCTGATCCAGGAGCCATGGATCTACAAAGGAGAGGTCAGAGGCCTCAAAACGGTGATCAATAAGATAATCTGGGATCTCTCAAGTGAGATACCTAGAGCCTGTAAAGTAATTAGGAACGATATTGATTTCTTTTGTATTTCAGAGTTCCTAATACAAGACTTGGTAGCTGTGCAGGCTAAAAGCAACGAAGGAACGGACTTCGTCCTGGCAGCGGCCTATTTTCCGGGAGACACACCGAGGCCGTCGGAAACCTGGTGGAATACTTCAGGAGGAATAACCTGCCCCTCGTCCTGGGATGCAACGCCAACGCCCTTCACACGGAATGGGGCAGCACGGACTGCAATACACGGGCTGAGTCTCTACTTGAATTTATAGTCAGTACTAATTTAAGTATTGAAAACGTGGGGTGCGAGCCCACCTTTGTTACGAGTGTAAGAAGGGAGGTGCTTGACATCACCCTTGGTAACGAACTTACGACAGGGCTGATCCGGCAATGGAAAGTGTCATCGGAACCCTTCATGTCTGATCCCCGTATCATAAGATTCGCCCTAGTGGTAGAGGTCAGGCAGCTTCCTCCCAGGCGTATTCCCAAAAACAGGGACTGGGCCATTTTATGTATACGCTTGAAATAAATGTCCATAGGAGAGGGCAGCTGGACGGCAGTGCTACTGCTTCTGGACTGGAGAGCAGGTTGTCTGCAGTAGGCTCTCAGAACTACGAAAAACGGTACGCAAGCTATTTAACAAGGCTAAGCGTACCGGGTACTGGGAGAACTACAAGTACAGCCTAACTGCTTACGACAAGGATACCAGGTTAGCAAAGCAGAAGAGCTTCAGGAAGTTCTGTGAAAACGTCTCCTCAACGCCAGAGGTTGCAAGACTGCATAAGGCTCTGGCAAAAGGTAAGACGGACACAGTACAAACAATTAAAAGATCGGATGGCACCTTTACGTCTAGCGCAGAGGAAAGAGCCACGGCTTTTCTAATCGCGCACTTCCCGGAGACAATTCAAGAAGACCAGATTCGATCCCTGGTCTAATGAAAGCCATCTCACTTAGGATGGACAGTCGCACACACAGCTCTTCACTGCAGACTCCATCAAGTGGGCTTTAGCCTCCTTTGAAAAATATAAGCTGTGCGCCTTCCTTGACATCGAAGGTGCATTTGACAGTACGTCTCACGAAAGCGTGTCAAAAGTACTGGAGAAAAGAAGTGTGGCGGCACCGGTGCGCAGATGGATTGAAGCCGTACTGCGCCCCAGGATAGCTGAAACCACAGTAGGCGATACCAAGATTCGTCGTGGCACAACAAGAGGTTGTTCACAGGGCAGAGTGCTATCCCCTCTACTTTGGAGCCTAGTTGTGGACGATCTTTTGGAGTTGCCAACTAGCAATGGAATCCGCTGTCAGGGATATGCGGACGATATTGTTATTTTAGCCAGGGGTAAGTTCGCAGACACTCTCTGCGATATTGTACAAATTGGATTGGGGCTGGCAAAGGGATGGTGTAGTGGGGTTTGTTTAAACATCAACACCTCAAAGACTACAATCATACCGTTTACCAGGCGCTGGTTATTGCCAGGTCTCAGAAACCTATCCCTAAACGGCATGGAGCTGGAGATGGCTAACACGGTCAAGTACCTGGGCCTCACGCTGGATTCCACTCTACGGTGCAAGCAGCATGTGGACCTGACCTAAGCCAAAGCTACGAAAGCGCTCTTGGTGTGCACTCGACTTGCTGGGAAATCATGGGGCTGCAACCCGAGGATTATAAAATGGTTGTACACCATGATTGTGAGACCGATCATAACATATGGAGCGGTAGCTTGGGTTTTCAAAGCATCGCAGACTTCGGTAGGACTTCGACTATCGAAGCTGCAACGACTTGCCTGCATCTGCGCGTCGGGCGCGATGAGTACGGGTCCGGCTGCAGCATTGGAAGTAATGTTACAGCTCACACCGTTACATATACTGATCAAACAGACGGCCAAACAGACTCTGCTTCAAATGATAGCAGAAGGGTTTGGCAAAGGGAAGGTAATCTCGTCCCAGCAGATGAAGGCCCTAAGTGACGAAATGCCACTGGCCCTTCTCCCAAGGGACAGCATTACCAAAGCCGTAAGCTGCAATAGGAAGGTCAAAGATACCCTTGCCAGTAAGGGGGAATGGAATGATTCCACGCTGGACCTACTGCTAATGGATAGCACTATCAAGTGGTACATCGACGGCTTGAAAACGGCGGAGGGGATGTGTGCAGGGGTCGCAGGACCTCGCATCAATCTGTCCATTCCCATGGGAAGTTTTCCTAGCATCTTCCAGGCGGAAGTATATGCTATAAGTCGGTGTGTAGAGATAAACCTCCAACGC